ACAAAGTGTGCATTTTCAAAGAATAAAGTACTTTATAAAGAATTTATTATTAAAAAATTATTTAGTAATCTACAAATAATATACCCAATAATTTGGGGGCCAATAGGCAATCAAAATTTTACAGCAGGGAAGTTCAGAACTGTAATAACAGAAAGTGAATGAAAGGGTAGGAATCCAAAAGCTGATGAAGCCTTATTAAGTAGGCATAAAACTGTGGAGATAAAAACAAAAGTCAGTACAAATCTAAACATTTTCAGTAAAGAATAACAAAGTTGGGTGCATGTGAACTAGGTCTTATCTCTACACCACAGTGTCTAATAAATAGAAGTGTTTAATAAATGGTTGTTAAATAAATGTGACTTGTTTGAACTTGGACTATTCATTGAGTTACTGTACCACTCCTCAGGAAAGAGCAGTCATCAGTAAAATAAATAAAAATGGTACAGAAGGCACTGTCTGTTCTTTGTGAAAATGGATGGACATTAGCCAGTATCTAAACTTGAATCATAACATAGGCAATATGTGCACCTATAATTAAGGGGAAATTGTCTATCCAAGAAGGTTATAAAACTAAACGTTTTATAAACCAGTTCTAAGAAAAATAATGTTTCTATAAAATGAAAAAGAAATACTGCTAAATAAAATCTTTCTTTTTGAAAAGGGCAGACAAGGAAAGATTAACCATGTAAAAAAGCAAGCCTATTGAAAATTTCTTAAATAAGATTGTTGTTGTTGTTGTTAGATGCCAATGAGTCAGCTCCGACTCATAGTGACCCTCTGTACGACATAACAAAACACAGTCTGGTCCTGCACCATCCTCACAATCCTCGCTCTGCCTGAGCCCGTCATTGCAGCCACTGGGTCAGTCCATCTCGTTCAGGATCTTCCCCTTTTTCACTGACACTCTACTTTACAAGCATGATATCCTTCTCTGGAGACTAGTTCCCTTCTAACAACATGACCCAAAGAAGTAATTAAGGTATGTTGTTGTTGTTATATGCCATAGAGTCAGACCCAACTCATAGCGACCCCTCCTTGGGTTTCTGAGGCAGTATCACTATGGAAGTAGATTGCCCAAGCTTCCTTCTGAGGAGTGGCTGGTGGGTTTGAACCGCCAGCCTTCTGGTTAGCAGTTAAGTGCCTTAGGCACTATGTTACCAGAGCTCCAAATTAGGTATATTCTCCTATATATGATTAGGAAAGTGTGTTGTTGTTGTTGTTGTTGTGTGCCATCAAGTCGGACCTGACTCATAGAGACCCCTCCTTGAGTTTCTAAGGTGGTATCACTACAGAAGTAGACTGCCCAACCTTCCTTCTGAGCAGTGGCTGGTGGGTTTGAACTGCCAGCCTTCTGGTTAGTAGTCAAGTGCCTCAGGCACTACGCTATAGAGAAAAAAAATTCAATTATGAAAATAATGAAATACTTATTAATAATAAATGTAAGCCTGTTGTTGTCATTAGGTGACATCAAGTCAGTTCCAACTAAAAGCAACCCTATGTATAAAACGAAAAAGAAATACTATAAAACAGAACAAAACACTGCCTGGTCCTGCACCATCCTCACAATCCTTGCTATGCTTGAGCCCATCACTGCAGCCAGTGTGGCAATCCATCTCCTTGAGGGTCTTCCCCTTTCCCACTGACCCTCTACTATTTTACCAAGCATGATGTAATTCTCCAGGGACTGGTCCCTTCTGACAACATGACCAAAGTGCATGTGATGAAGTCTGGCCATTCCTGCTCCTAAGCATCTTGACTGCATGTCTTCCAAAGCAGATTTGTTTGTTCTTCTAGCAGTTCATGCTCTTTTCATTATTCTTCGTGAACACAACAATCCGATTGTAACAATTCTTCTAAGGTCATCCTTATTTACTGTCTAGATTTCACATGCATATGAGGCTACTGAAAATACCATGGCTTGGGTCAGGTCCACCGTAGTTTTCAAAGTGACATCTTTGCTTCTTAACACTTTAAAGAGGTCTTCTGCATCACATTTGCCCAGCGCCATACATCATTTGATTTGTTGACTGCTGCTGCCATGAACATTGATTATAGAACCAAGCAAAATGAAATCCTTGACAATGTTAATATTTTCTTCATTTATCAGACATTGCTTATTGGTCCAGTTGGGAGGATTTTTGTTTCCTTTATGTTGAGGTGTAATCCATACTGAAGGCTGTAGTCTTTGATCTTCACCAGTAAGTGATGGAAGTCTCTACTTTTAGCAAGCAAGGTTGTGTCATTTGCATTATCACAGCTTGTTAATTAGTCTTCCTCCAACCTTGATGCCACATTCTTCTTCATATAGTCCAGCTTCTCGGATTATTTGCTCAGCATACAGATTGAATAAATCTCCTGAAAGGATTCAACACTGACACACACCTTCCCTGATTTAAAATCATGCAGTATCCCCTTGTTCTGCTCAAATGACTGCCACTTGGTCTATGTACAGGTTCCTCATGAGCACAATTAAGTATTCTGGAATTCCTATTCTTTGCAATGTTATCCATAATTTGTTATGATCCACACAGTTGAATGCCTTTGCATAGTCAATAAAACACAAGTAAACATCCTTCTGGTATTCTCTGCTTTCAGCCAAGATCCATCACATCAGCAATGAAACTCCTCAGTCCATGTCCTCTTCTGAATCCAGCTTAAATTTTTTGCAGTTCTCTGTAGATGTTCTGCTGGAACTGTTTTTAAATTATTTGTAGCAAAATTATTAAGGCTAGGACAGTTAATACTTGGAACAAATGACTGTGCATTTTACTATTAAATTTAGTCAGTTCTTTTTCACTACCTTATTTTTATATTAAAATATATTTAACAATCAGCACTTGCAAAAGCTATTAATCTTCTATCACAAGGTGATCCTGAAACAAAGATCACGTTTAACCGATGTTTTCAGTCCAATGGAATGTTGGAATGAAACTCTTCTTCCCCCATTGGTTACTGTACTGATGATCAGTTGTTTGGAAATTACTGTTACCTTAAACAACAAACTATAATGTCCCAGAAAAAAGAAAGGTTAAAATGTTAATAGAGCACTTTTTTTTCATTTGTTGTTCTGCTTAGCTAATAGGCCCAGATATAATCTCTGTTACAGGTATTTCCTGCCAGTTAATAAGTGACTTGAGTTCTTCAACTCCCATAGCTGATGATTAAACAGCTGGAAATCCCCCCCTTGTGACTCCTGAATCCCAGTCCAAGACATCTGAATATATGGAATGCAGTGTTCAGCGTCATCTTGGAATGTCAAGAAGGCACAATAAAAATTAAAGGGAGTATTTTTAGGTAAATAAATAAATGGATTCAAATAGATTCTGTAAAATTGTGCTTCTCCATTGATTGAAATTACTTTGAAACCCACAGATGACTAAGCAATATGAGTCAGCACATATTTGATGCATTCTGGTAACCTTAAGGTTTGAGAATGGAGTTTTAAAGACAGTGGTTTAAAAAAAAAAAAAAAAAACCAGGAGGACTCTCAGATATAAACACTGGACAAGGAGACAGGAGATGTGTGTTTTAGCCCACTAATTGCCTCGGGCCAAGACAAGCCATTTATTTTTTTCTAGGCTTCACTTCCCTGTCTATATGAAGAGAACAGTGTGATCCAGACTCAGACTTCCAAACACAAATGCTTATGGGGGCCACAGGCCATCTAAAGACAGAAAAAGGGGTGATATGAGAAGAATAGAGAGAAGTAAAAGCTACAGTGAATTAGGAAGCCTCTTCAAAAGCAAGAGTCATTGCTTTGCTATCTAATCTTGAATTGCACAAGGATGCTGGGGAACATCATTAGTTCTTACAAAATTCTGCAGGGTCCTGGACCAGGGTTAAAGTTTACCCTCTCTCCAATAACCCACAGGGAAATCTCTCTCAAATGGCGTCACTAGTAGCTTGCTCAATATCTGTAGGAACTTTGTACACCACACAGATAGGTGGGTGACCCGCATGGAAGGGTAGGTGACAGGAGTTCTCCAGGCTGGAAGGATGAACACAGGCTCAGGAAGCTGAGGAGATGGATGCCTTAGGTCTTTCTAGTTTGTTCAAAGTGTTGGGAATGAATAAAACTCCCTCCAAAGTCAAATAGAAATTATGTTGAATACAAGGCCTCTTCTTCCTTCTTTATTATAGACTGTTATTTCTGTGCCTAAAGAATCTATACTACTGACAGCTTAGATCTAATCATATGACTTTCAAAATCAAAAATAGAGATGCTATTTTTTTAATGTAATCATTCCTATAGTAAAATAAGGACTTGCAGAATTAACATTGTACATACAGAAAATTGGAAGGAGGTCTACTTTAATTTGATTTTTGTTACATAGGATTATTTCCCTAAATACTTTGCATTCAGGCACTTGTAATAATATTGCATATAATGTTTCTCAAAGAACAAACAATAAGAGAAAAGTTTTTTAAACAAATGACCAATGTGCATTTTTAAACCAATGAAAGAAAGCTGAAAGACAAAACTGATTATCAAGATTTTTCCATAAAATGGAAAATTTTTATATTTTATACTGGCTGAGTAAATACCATTTCTTTAGGTACAGGTTGTTTATTTAAGGAATGTAACTGAAATTTCATTCCAGGATGACAAAGATCAGCTTATTATGATATCACTTTTATGACTGAAAACAATAACTTCTATATGTATTAATTTCTTCTAATGGTCCATATTCCAGATCATATTTATATTTCAGACATAACTTACACATAACTGTTTCTATGTTAGTGATAAACTCTGCAGTAGTTTGTGGTGTAGGGAAAACTTAAGAATGGTAAAACTGAACATTTTGATTCAGTAAAAAATGCTTGTACCCAAATGCATACTGCAAATGGCTGAGTAGATCACATTTTTAATATTAAAGGAGTCTGCTAATAACAGCCATGTGTATCAGTGCATGTGTAGGTGCAGATAAAATTTCTTACTGGCATATATATTCATGAAACAATGCTGAAAGAAAAAGGAGACTATGCCACAGACTTACCACAGCTCAGGTTGTTTTCAGCCTTCAGAGCTAGGGTTGGGATATTCCAGAAATCATTTTGCCAGTCAACCACATTCCCTTTCACATTACAGCTGAGATTGGAGAGGATTTTAGAATTCATGGTAAAGTTCCAAAGTCGAAAGTTATAAATGTCCCCTTTTAGAGAGGAAATTTCATTTTGATCAGAGCCCAACAACAATTTCCCATTCCCAGGAATAACTTTGCTAATGGTGGCATCACATGGAACCATTTCATAGCTTCTTCTGAAATTCACACCAACAGAGCCCAAAGAATTATTCCAAACAATGCAGAGCTGCTCAAAGCTGTCTGTGAAGATGTCTTCATTTTCCTTGACAGGTAACACACTATTCAGGAAGCATTTTGAGCCTGAAATAGTTAGAAAGTAACCACCCTGGCCCTTTCCAAAACTGAGCAATTGTGTGAAGGATGCATCTGAGTAGGAGAAAGCTGTCCAGTCATTGTCTTCATTGCCAATTTTGGTTGCTTCAAAGCAGAGTGAGAAAGCGCTGAGCTCTGGAATGGAGACACTTTTTGCAACAGATACTTGGTAAGCATCTAGCATCTGGGGTAAAATGACCTTTTGATTCCTTAAGGACACAGCAACTACAACAAAACATAATAGCAGAGAGAGAGAACGTTAATTCTAGACTATTGCCAAATGAGATGCAAAAAGTCTGCTAACCACACTGCTCCACCACTCTGTATTAACATTTTAGTCATCCTTTGACTCACCAATTCCCTCTATTTCTCTGCCCATTCTACCATCAAGCATTACCAATAGTGTTAGAACAATAATTGTAACAACGGAAAGAATAATAGGTACTATTTATTGATAATATATGTGTCAGGCATTGTTGAATGTTTCCATAAGCACTATCCCATACATCCATCAAAATAACTCTGTCTGTGAAGTTACTGTTGCCTTCATTTGGTACAAGAAGAAACTGCAACTCAGGGCAGTTTAATGACATTCGTATGAAGCAGAAGACCTAGGATTCTAAGTTACTTTGCCTGGCTTCAAACTCTGTGCACGCTCCCTTATAACAGAGACTTGTGGATTTCTACTCTACATACACAAGGAATAGTATGATTAAAACATAGCTTTAATGAAAATTTCTAGCTAAAAAAATCATGATGGAATTTAACAGTGTCATGGATTTTGTTGTTGTTGTTGTTGTTTGCCGTCGAGTCGGCCCCGACTCATAGCGACCCCTCCTTGGGTTTCCGAGGCAGTATCACTACGGAAGTAGGATTGCCCAACCTTCCTTCCGAGGAGTGGCTGGTGGGTTTGAACCGCCAGCCTTCTGGTGAGCAGTCAAGTGCCTTAGGCACTATGTCATGGATTTTAGTCTATTTAAAAAAACAAAAGTTCTATGTTGTTAAATTGTACTCAAAAGAATGCTTATGAGATATACATCCAGTATTCTCTATGCATTAAAAATAAAGTGCTGGAAGGAATCATGCCATCAACATTTTATTAGTGATTATGGCAGGGTGGTAGATGTATAGGTAATTCTAACTTGCTTTAATTTTTATTTCTCATTTTCCTATAACATTTTATACTTCTTAAAATATTGTGTTAAAAATTAAACTATGTGTGTTTTAATTAATCACACATTACCTAAAGTCCATCACAAACAGCAAATAACCCTACAAGCAAAAAAGAAAAAAAAAAATAATAACACCACTAACAGTCATTTTCATAGTTGTGCCTTTCATTTTCTTTTTTCTTTGTACATAGCACTTATTATTTAGGAAGCTCAAAATAAAATGTATAACAAAACCAGATAGTCTTGAATCTTAAAAAAGTTTTCTTTAAATAAAGACAGGTTTGGGAAAGAATAAGATAATATAAATGTTATTATATGTAGAATCTGGAAATTATATTTGATAAAAAGATGTTTTATTTCCTTTAATTAGTCATTTTCAGAGGATTTTCTCTGGGTTACTTATTTACTTGAGTTATTAATAGTCCTTTTTATTTTAATTTACAGGCTAATTTTCTATATTTGTCCCCTAGTACAGTGCTTTAAAAGGGCAACATCTTAAAAGCCGAAAATAAATGGATTTCTAAGTAGGGATGTTTTAAATTATCAGTGGAAGATGTTAGAATTACAGATTCAATTATTATCAATGGAGTATCTACTGTGCATCCCAAGCAGCCTTGAAATGTTCTGCAAAGAAACAATATAAAAGAACTACTGTAACCAGATTTTGGATCTGGTAACCATATATTGCTAATGAGAATGATCCAAAAATATTAACAGATTCTTGCCCTTAAATCCTAATCCTAATCATTCACATTCACATAAAAGAGCATAACTCTGTCTTCTGGGTCTTGTGTTTATTGCAGAAGATGTTAAATGAAAGCAGAAGGTTGGCATCGCCTTTGGTTTACATACCTCTGGTGTAGCTGGCATTGAAACCTTTCTTCTGGATGCTAAAGTCACTTGAAAAGGACACATGCATCTCATTCGCACTTGAGTTAAATGATAGGCCTTTGGCAGTTGCTCCACAAAATTTAGTCTGGCTTTCTCCATTATCAAGGGAAAGCGAGTCATAAATACAATTGGGAGCTTCCTCAATGTCGAAGTCATTAAACGTTATCTGAATGATGTAGCCAGTGGGGGCCCGGAGGGTCCACATGCAAGCCTGGCTGTTGGGGTAGTCGTTAGGATAGCACGGAGAAGTAAAGGTCCCAGATGGGTTGGATAGGTCAACCCTGCAGTTGGTACATCCCCATGCTGTTGGCCAGACAAAACAGAAACAAAGAGAAAGGCTAAGATCAGATGCCTCCAATAAATCAAGCATACCACACACTGGGGCCATCAAACAATAAACATTCTGAAATACCAAAATACAGTCATGAAAATTAAATGGAAAATGAACCCATCTCAAGGAGAAAGAGATGTACCAATGTTGTTCTTTGTTGGTATGTGCTGTCGAGTCAGACCTGACTCATAGTGACCCCTCCTTGGGTTTCCGAGGCAGTATCACTACAGAAGTAGATTGTCCAACCTTCCTTCTGAAGAGTGGCTGGGAGATTTGAACCGCCAGCCTTTTGGTTAGCAGTTAAGTGCCTTAGGCACTACGCTACCAGAGCTCCTTGATATACCAATGTTGTTGCTGTTATATGCCGTCAAGTTGGACCCAACTCATAGCGACCCCTCCTTGGGTTTCCGAGGCAGTATCACTATGGAAGTAGATTGCCCAACATAAAAGAAAACAAACATACACAATTTTAAAGCAAAGACTCTTAAATATATGGAGGTGAGAGCTTGTAGGCTCTGACAATCTGATGAAAGCCACAGAAGGGAACTCTCTCCAGTACATGTACATGAATCACCACCTGTGCATACAACTTCAGGGAACATAGGAGATCTCAGGAGCCAACAATGGATGTCACAAAGGTCCACAGATCTGGGGCAAGAATCCTTACTCTAGAGAATAATTGAACTGGCACAGAGGAGGAGAGTAAAGAACCATAAAGGAAAAGCTCAATATTTCACTTTTCTTCCATAAACACCAAGGAAGGAAAACTCTGAAGATACAAATGTTTAAAGAGAATGCTACAACTCAAAGCAACATACAGATCATTGTTAGGCCGAAGCAAACCCAAGCCACCAACATTTCAGTTAGCAGCTTCCTCCGGGTGTCCAGCCCTGATGAGACAGCCTGATAAGACAACCAAAGTGACAGAACCCGCCCAGACTAGAAAGTCCCATGCAGTGGCAAACTTCCTCTTGTGAAGCCTCCACATGCTAATTAAGTACAGACCCATGCTAACAGCTAATTGGACCCCACTATTTCCTTAGTGTCCCCACTTAGGTCCTCCACAAGACTATAAACCCTCCCCTCCCCAGCCAGACCCTGGGACTTCTCGGGCCCCTCTCAGGGATCCATGAACCTCGCCCGGGCCCCTCTCTGGGACCCGTAAACCTCACCCGGAAACTCAGAATAAAAACTTCTCTTTAACCTCACTTTTGTGCGTCCTCTTCTCCTTACTGTGGCCTTACAATCATCTTCCAGTAGATTATAATTTTATAAAATTCAAATAAATAGCATCCCCTTGCACATGTGCAATATTTATAGTTTAGAAAGTACTTTCACTTACCTCATTTGTTTGTCATCATTGATAATTACATGCTTGTGTGATTATCTCATTTACTCATTTGTGCAGAAAATATTTATTGAGTACCTGCCATGTGCCAAAATAGTATATACCAATGAGCACAAAAGACAGACTCTCTGTCTGAACGATTCTTACACTTTAGTCTTGGATATGAATATAAATAATATAATGACAAATGGGGATAAGAAGCATGAAGGAAAAAGCAAGGACTAGAGAGTGTGTGTTATGAGATAGGTGCAACACTGGGGTGGTCACAAAAGTCTTCTCTGAGGAGGTGCCACTTGAGTACAGACCCAAGTAAAGTGAGGTGCACCCTAGGAGCATGTGCCAAAATCAAACCAAGCCTACTACCAAGGAGTCGGATCTGACCCATAGCAACCCCTCCTTGGGTTTCCGAAGCAATATCATTATGGAAGTAGATTGTACAATCTTCCTTCCGAGGAGTGGCTGGTGGGTTTGAACCATGAGCCTTCTGGTTAGCAGTCAAATGCATGTGCAGGGGAATAGTATTGCAGACCAAAGTGATGAATCTAGTTGATAGCAGAACCAAGATGCAAACCAGCTCTTTTGAATGTAAAGCTAATGCCTTATTGGGTGGGGGAGGGGCAAGTAGTTGTAATAATTAAAAGACTAATAGCAAATGGTAAACACTAGTACTGTTTTATTTTTTTAAAAGAAAAAAACAAACTTTTTACTGTGATTTAGGTGAAAGTTTGTAGAGCTAACTGGTTTTCCATTCAACGTTTCATACACATCTTGTTTTGTGACATGGATTGATTGTAATCCCCATAGTGTAACAGAACTCTTCCCACTTATGCCCTGTGGCTGCCATTTCTATTTGTCCTTCCTGCCATAAGCTTTATCCCTGGGCAAAAGCTGCCCTTTTGATCTCATTTGGTCGGTTGTTCTCGGGAGTGCATACCTCCCTAGTATTACTGTTCACCTTCTATGTTTGTCTATTATTTGCCTGACCGTTGAGCCATGGGAGTGACCTTGGTTCCAGACTTGAAGAGTACCTAAGGGCCATAGTCTTATAGGTTCCACCAGTCTAAGCAGATCAGTAAGCCTGGTCTTTTTTTTATTATTTTGAGGTTTGCACCATATTTTTATCCCATGCAATCCAGGACTTCCTATTGTTATCCTTTTCAGAAAGGTCATGTGGTAGTTAAAGTTGTGTGTCATCTTGGCTGGGCCTGGTTGAGTGGCTGGGCAGCTGGTGGTAGTTATTCCCCATGATGAGACTGGCAATCAACTCCATGGTGGGATCCACCACAAGCAGCTGAGTAGCTGCCTTGGATATGTGGTCTGCTTCCCATATATTAGAAGCAGCTTTGGGAATGGTCTCTACCTTATGGTGCGCTTGGACCCTGCATGCAGCTGTGTCATTCATTGTTCAGCAGCCTCCCATGCTCTGCCCACCTTGGGACTTATGATGGACTTAAATTAATGGCCTGCCATGTGGTTTGGTAACATCGGGACTGTGCCTTTTTACCTGTCAACCTTGGGCTTCTCAGCCTCAGCAGCCAGCAGGTGTCTGAGTGAAGAAATGCCTCTAGTTCCAGTGGGCTGAGAAGAGGAGGCAGAGCTGGACCCCAAGGTTGAGAGGCTTTCACCCAGCCCCTAGAGCCTGGCACTTTGAACTTGGACTTAAAGTCTCCAAACTGTAAGAGAGTAAACTCCTGTTTGTTAAGGCCATCCCATTTGTGGTATATTCTTGTCAGAGCGACACTAGGTAACCAGAACAGGTCAGTAGTGGTAGCCAGGCATCATCTAGTCACAGAGGCTAGGGTTCATGTGGTCCACTAGACCTTTGGACTATATGTTTCCTTGCATCTTTGATTTTCTTCACTCTCCTTTGCTCCGGATGGTAAGACACCAATAGCTGCACCTTAGATACCTGCTCACAAGCTTTTAAAATTCCAGTTGCTCCTCACCAAAGCAGTATGTAGAACACCGTCTTTGTGGACTAGGTTATGCCAACTGACTTTGACTCCTGTGAGATTATGTTCCTGAGCCTCCAGGCCCAGTGACTCATTCCCTCAATGTGTTTGTTACCTTCTGTACTCTCTACTATATTCAGGGATATATCGACATCACATACAGATACATATGTAGAAATAGCCTCTGTTAAACATCTTCCCCTTTGGTAGAGTCCCATTAGCTTCCCCACACCTGTTCTGCCTGTGTGTCTATCTATGTACCCACTCATACACTGTTATTCCTGTTCTTGCAACACTGTGTATGCAATCGTATTCATTGTTGCCTTTAACTCTTGTGCTCTTCCCATGGTCTTCTTTTGCCTTGATCATACTGTGCTGACCTGCCCCTTGTAGTATATTGTCTCCTTTCATCCAAGTGATCCATGTCTAATCTCCAGTTGGTGATTTACATTTCCTCCCTCTTTTATCCCTAGTAACTCTCAAACAGTATTTCTTTCTGTGAGTAAACATTTTCTTGATTTTTTTACAGTAGTGATTTCATACAATATTGTTCTTTTGTGATTGATTAATTTCGTTCAGCATGGTGTCCTCTAGGCTTGTCTGAGTTATGAAGTGCTTTGCAGATTGATCATTTTTCTTTAATGTGTTGTGTAGTATTCCATCATGTGTATGTAAGATAGTTTGTTCATCCATTCATTCTTTGATGGACACTTAGGTTGTTTTTATCTTTTTGCTATTGTGAATAATACATCAGTGAACATGAGTGTACATGTATCTGTTCATTCACGGCTCTTGTTCTCTAGGATATATCCCCAGAAGTGAGACTGCTGGATCACATGGTATTTCTATCTTCAATTTTTTAAGGAAGTGCCATACCATTTCCACAGTGTTTGAACCATTTTACAGTTCCACCAGCAGTATATAAGGGCTCCAATCTCTTCACATCTCTTCACATCCTTGCCAGCATTTGTTGTTTCCTGTTTTTTGAAGTTTGTTATTAACGCTGGTGTGTGAGATGGAATTTCATTGTTGTTATGATTTGCATCTCTCTAATGGCTAATAATTGGGAGCATTTTTTCATGTGTTTGCTGGCAGTCTGAATGTTTTCTTTGGTGAAGTGTCTGTTTATATCCTCTGCATATTTTTTAACTGGATTGTTTGTCTTTTTGCTGTTGAGGTGTTGAAGTTTTCTATAACTTTTAGGGATTATTCCCTTGTCCAGTGTTATTGTCAAAATTTGTTTCCCACTCTGTAGGTTCTCTTTTCACTCTTTTAGTGAAGGCTTCTTTTGATATGGGAGCTCTGGTGGCGTAGTGCCTAAGGCATTTGACTACTAAGCAGAAGACTGGTGGTTCAAATCCACCAGCCACTCCTCAGAAGGAAGATTGGGCAATCTGTAATGATACTGCCTCAGAAACCCAAGGAGGGGTCGCTATAAGTCGGATCCCACTCGATGGCAGTGAGTTTGGTTTTTTATTTTCTTTTGATGCTCATAAATGTTTAATATTTAGGAGGTCCCAGTTGTCTACCTTTCTTCTGTTGCTTGCACATTTTTGGTTATGTTTGACAGTGAATTTATGCCATGTATTAACTCACTACTGTTGAGTCAATTCACTCATAACAACCCCCCTTGGGTTTCCAGATACTTCCATATACTTCTGTATATATACAG